GAACTTATAATCTAAGATAGATGTCACTTACGTTCATTATTTCACAGCAGTCCCTACCAATAATGCGCCTTATATTGCGGGAATATTTTGTTTAGTGCCATATAAAAACAAAATGTATTCTCCCGACAGAAGTATGACAGAATATGAACTGGCCCCCGTTTGTGGACATTTGGTGTGCAAACGTATACCGAACTGATCGCAGAAAAGCAATTTGAATCATGGGAATGAAGTACTTTTAAGTTATTTATGAAAGTATCGATAGTGAACCATGGGAGCCAACCTTCTTGGAGTAAAAGAAAGAAGCGTGCCTGCAATAATCAAGGTCACACATTTGTCAAATTCCTTTTAAATACGGTAGATTTCGACAGCAAAAAAACGGAGATTTTACGGGAGTTGTACCAAGAATACGGGAGATTTTACGGGAGTTATACCAGAAAACGGGAGATTTTTCGGGAGTTATACCAAGAATACGGGAGATTTTACGGGAGTTACACCAGAATACGGGAGATTTCAGCAAAAATACGGGAGATTTTACGGCCATATTTTTAAAAAAATTACGGGAGATTTTATAGAAATACGGTACGGGAGTTTACGGGAGTTTTTACGGGAGAAAACGGTACGGGAGTTTGGTATTTTTTACGGAAAAACAAAATTTTACGGGAGATTCCCGTAAAAAACGGGAGGTTGGCAAGTCTGAGCATATTCTGCATTGGAATATGATATAGTGAGTACCTCATATTCACCTGCGTAATATGACACATTCATTCGGAGAATATGACATACACATTGCGAAATATGGCATTTACCTTAACTCGTAATGTAAAACTAAAATGGATTACCTTTTGTTTTTATCACTCCGAGCACTAAACTCTGAATCCTGGAGTGATTGAGTAAGTTTATTACGTGTGATCGGTAAATGACACTTCTGAAAGTATCAGTAACGTGCATTCGTGTTTTTCAGATTTTTATCTGGTCTTTGTAAACTGTTGATTTGGTTGTAAAAGTCATTCATAAGCTTCACGAAACTAGGTTCGATTATTTATATGTAATAATGTTTCCCTTGAAATGTTTTTCAATTGTATCAGTTGATATATTCAATTCACTGATCTGTTGATTAAGTAAACATTATAATAATTTATAGACTTTTATCTGTTCATTGAATCGTGTGTTGAATGTGTGTGTTTGTGTGTAGAAAAAGTCTGTTGATCTTTCACTGGTTCATCTACTACCTTTGGTCAAATCAACTAACAAAATAACCTTTGGGTTAACGATTTGGTTGAGAGGCTTGAGCACCAGCATTTTTATATAGGTATATGGTTGTCGTAACCACAAGGTCACAACTTCGTTACGAGGTTGTGTTTATTCATTTATTCAACTGGAATACTTTCAAATGCGAATTTCCAGCCAATTTGTGAGATAAATATCTAATTCTAAGTTCAAGTTCTATATTGAGGTGCCATGGAAGTTGACAGGAAATGACAAAACAAAAAGTGACAAAACCATGCTGGATTTTTAAAAATCTTTGAACCAAGATAACAGAGTTCTGTTTGGAACACAATGGAAATGGTCAGAATGACCACAAACATGATGAAATAACCTTTTTAGCCCTCTGAAAATGTGACTGAAAAATAGCTAAAAGTAGGTGCTCGGGAAAGGTCACTGAACAGAATCTTTTGACTTTTTCAGAAAATGTGCCCAATATATTGCAATTTTAAAAAATTGATATAATTCTTAGAAAAAGAAAAAATGAATTGAGAATCGATCTATTTTCCTTTTTACCACAGCCATTATTGTTTCCTACAATTCTTTAAAATTACAAAGATTTAATCATTAAAGTGCCCGATAAACTATAAAATGCGCATGCGTCCAGGTGTTGATAAACTATAAATAGCGAAAATCCAGGGTTTGTCACCACAAGGTAAGCCAGGACGTGTTGAGAGAACAGCTAGTGTTGATATTGAATTTACATGTAGCCAGATAAGTTTCCTTATTGAAATTACATATGGTTATTAGCAATACTTTGTAGGTGCTAAATAATAAAATATTTAGAGTATATATGAGAGAAATTGGTCATTTCGAACCTGTTGAAAAGTTTGTGGCTCTCGGCTACATCGGGGAATTTACTTCCATGAGTACACACATAAATGTGGGGTTCCCCAAGAGGTACGCGACAAGGTGACCTGGCATCAAATGTGCGACTAAATGCTACTATCAAGAAGATGAAATAACGAATACGACAATAAGTTATTGCATGTGACAATTCCGTGCCTTCATCTCACTGAAGTATTTTGAAGTAAAAATAGGATTTTTGTTTTGATACATGGATTCAGATGAACGTAACTTTATTCTGACAACTAATCAAAACTGAACAAAATTGATTGTACGTAACAGACAATTTATTGTTTTACAATGTTTTGATTGGCTAAACGAATGAAACCAACAAATTATGACATGTAAAATGACAATTTTGAAATGTAAAATTTAAAGGTGACAAACACAACCTCCCTATCCACTCTTTGGGAGCCCTAGTAAATTAGTAATATGTACATGCAGCAGTGGTAGTGTACAGCTTATTATCACACTACGCTTTGTATTCTAAAGCCTGTTGTTTGTAATAACACAGTGTTCACTCAACGTATGTTTTGTGTGTGGGCAGTCAACGATAATCATTGTTTTATCCCGGTTATATGACCTCGGCAATTATAACAGAACCGTACTAAACGAAAAATCGCAAATAAGAGAAAGCTTTCACACACACATAAAAAATGAACTAGTCTAATCCGCCAGTATAAACTCTGTGCTATACGTAGCCGGGTCAGGCGCACACTTTAAGAGCAATATATTGGACACATTTTCTGAAAAAAATCATAAGATTTTGTTCATTGACCTTCCCTGAGCACCTACTTTTAGCTATTTTTCAGTCACATTTTCAGAGAGCTGAAAATGTTATTTCATCATGTTGAGGGTCATTCTGACCATTTCCATTGTGTTTCCGGTCATATAAATAATATGTGGAACTAGTTAAATTGACTGGAGGTCCAAACATAATAGTACAAGATCCTCGTCGTCCAAAAGTATCATTTTGTTCGAAATGATGAAGAAATCGTGAATCTTTGTATGATGAAACAGGTTGACAGTCTTATCTTAATAAATCGTTTTTTTGAGAAATATCACAAGCTTTGCAGTCAAAGTAACAAAAGGGATGCTATTTGTGCTAAAAACAAGATAATACGATATTCTTTAATTGGTTTTAGTACAACTTTAACAATTAAATTATCAATCCTAGATTCTAATTGTATGCTCTCCATAGTCCTCCTCTATGCATATTTCGTCGTCCATTGCAAACTTCTACATCTTTACCATAGTTTGCATTTATTCTCTGGGTTCATCTTGTCTCCTTTCTTACAGTTGAAGACCTCCGGAAAATCCGGAGAATTTTGAAGACTTCCCAATACCCTAATAAAAGATACAATAATACATGTTTATCAGGCATTAAGGTATTGTTACAGGATATTCTAAAAGCAATGTAGAAACACTTATAACTCCACCAAAATAATGTTTGCAAAATTGAAAAGAAAATAAATTAATAGGTCGACTATTTAATAAATATATAGTTATTCAAATATCTAAATAGGTAAAATATTTGAATAAGTCAAATGCATAGTGTTGACATAGTTAACCCTTGCAAAAAGTTAAAAGAATTTAAGCACACGACTCAATGAATTGTGGATGATTTAAGTCACTCATGCTACCGCACTAAAATGTCTGAGTCACATTTGCTCCGACTTTCAATCTGGCATCAATAATGGAAAATGTGACTAATGTATTATGTCAAAATCGGTCAAAAGCAACAATGTATGGTTTGGTATTGACATATGTATAAAACTAAAGTTGATAATACGAGGGTTGTCCCATATTACTCAAGTCTCTATCTACAACATTAGCAATAGAAATTGAAAATATAGAAAAAGTTGCCAAACTTATGGAGGGGGTGTAACATTAACGTATGATCCAGGAGGTTGACGATATAATTGATCTTGTACTTCAGTACTTGTAATAAACAAACACTTTTGCCAAAGAAGTGAATAATTGTCAAGAAAGACAACCAAATAATTGAGGACTTCGTATAATCTGAAATCGTGCCCGAAATTATAATACACTAATTACATGAATACAATGAAATAGCCCTACCTTAACTTAGCAGTTGGATATGGGTATCTTTTGATTCTTCTTTTC